TTCAAAATACTGTTTTCTTCTAGAAAAACATTTAAACGTGCATTAAGAATTGAAGTGAAAAATTTTCCTAAACAGCTAGAGATGCATATACCTCTGTAATTTCCAGGATCAGTTTTATTTCCCGATTTGTGTATAGGAGTAATAAGGCCTTCTGACCATATTTTTGGAAAAACTCCACTAGATAAAATCTTATTAAATAGTTTCACATAGTGAGGAGCTAAACTAATGGATGATATTTTAATAATTTCATTATGTATATGAGATAAAGATCGACTGCTCATGTTTTAACTAGTACTTAATAGGCCCAGTAAACTGTAAATATCAAATGCCAAACAAATAATTTACACATTGCATATATGCTTGACAATTATACATCCAACAGACAATTCAAACGTCCATTGGACATATGCGTAATCCATTGCATCCAATGGACAAAATGAAATGTCCAGTGGACATATCTATGTCCATTGGATCCAATGGACAACTGAAATGTCCAATGGACATATGCATGTCCAATGGATCCATTGGATCCAATGGACCATTGGACATTCTCACATTGCCATCTCACCGGCCTGCTACCTGCATGGGGTCCATGCTCACATATGACGTCATTCCAAATAACTTACTTAATGCACAACCAAATGTCCAGTGGACTTATGCCTGTTCATTGGATCCAATGGACAATTTAAATGTCCAGTGGACATCTCTATGTCCATTGGATCCAATGGACAACTGAAATGTCCAATGGACATATGCATGTCCAATGGATCAATTGGATCCAATGGACCATTGGACATACTGTCTTTGCCATCTCACAGGCCTGCTACCTGCATGGGGTTGATGCCCATATATGACGTCATTCCAAATAACTTACTTAATGCACAACCAAATGTCCACTGGACGTATTCTTGTCCATTGGATCCAATGGACAAATGAAATGTCCAGTGGACATGTGCTTGTCCATTGGATCCAATGGACAAATCAAATGTCCACTGGACATTTCAATATGTCCATTGGACATCTTGCAGAGGTATTGGACATTAATCCTCGAGCAATAGTCAAAATGGAATTATTTACAAACTAGAAATTACATCTATGCAGAAACCCTCGCCTTGTTTTGTGAAAACCATTGTATTTTAATTTCCGATCAGGAAGTAATTAGAGTAGTTGTCATGGTAACACGATAATTTCATTAAAAAATATTTTTACAATTGAAAAATCTCCTAAAAACATAACTTTTAATTACAACAATATCAATTTCAAGCCAAACATATTTGTGTTAAGTAACTATTGTTACTGTGCGTAATATAAGTTTCAATTTAATGTAAAATTTAACAACAAACGCTTTGCAAAACCTTTTAAAGGACAATGGCAACGAAAATTTTTATAGGCTATTTCAATCCTACTTGACGATCTAGCTATGAAAATATTATCATTTCCTTCTCAAACATTTTAGTCTGCATGTAAAATGTATGCAAACTTTGTGTTTCGCCGCCACCTTGGAAAAAATTTTTGAAAATTATCTCGAAGGTCAATGAATTTTGTGACGTCATTAGATGGGTAGCACCAAACTACACGGGAAAATTCTATTGCGTGCGTGTTATGGTAGCCAAAAATATGTCGTTTTTAGCGTTATACTGGCCAACACTCTTTGCAATCAAACAAGAGAAGTCTACACCATCAGATAAAAACATATCGAGCGACTGGGATAGCAAGGAATGGCGCAATTTACAATACAGGTAATTGATCATAAAATATTGCATTTACAGTTTGTAACTCATAGAGCTATCCAGTATAAATAAAGTTAGTTTAGTTTAGGTTTCCTCCTGTAGTAAAACTGGATCAATAAGAGATGATCCTTACTGGACCTCTAAGAAGAACAGTTCAGAATTAATAGTAGTATACAAAGTGGGGGTTCTGGCGCGGGTGGTGCACTAAGCACCACCCATGACGTCATCACAATATCATATCATATCATACCAATTACACGCGCTTGTAATGTATTTAAAGAGTGTGGACCAATAATTACTAGCATTTTAAGAACATTTTTTAAGTTTAATACTTTGGTAGCACTTATCGCCACATATATTCCTTCTAGCAAACTGAGTGAATTTTAGCACGTTCTCGATATATATTCTACTAAAGTTGTTCTAATGCTTGTGGGACGTAGATTTTGTACGCATGCGCAGTGAGAATTGTGTATTACGAAAATTCCTGATTTATAGGAGTTTGCAAAGATTCCGGAGGGAATTCTGCAGAGAATATCCCAGTTTATTCGAAATTCCCCCAAATCATAAACTACAATATAAATAGTGTATACAAGGTTTATTTGAATTCATCGTATCACAAGGTTTTATTAGATTATCTTAGAGTGTCCACTACTTTATGACCATCCTTGGTTTTCTTTGGGGATGTATTCACCATGTTTACGACTATTAAACAAGGAATAATAAAAATCTAGACATACGAATGAAATTTTTTAAACAGAACAAAGCAGTTGGTAAGCTTTAAAATCGTTGTCAACGGCGTTGTTATTATGGTCGAATTTGCATATTACAGAGTCATTAAAAAGTGATTAACCCGCCCACCCCGTGTGGATATATACAAATTCTTTATTTCACCCATGCAGCGAGCTTGAGACAGGAAAAATACTAAGGAACAGAGAGTTATTACAGATTGTATGCGAGATATATCGAAATTTTGTCGTTTGTGGCTCTCTAAAACGTATACCGCCAAAGTCATTAACAGTCATTAATAGATTACAAGTAAAATTTTAATCTTTTAAGTGCTTATTATGGATAAATAGGGATTATTTATTACCTTAAAATCGGGCAGGTGGCTTTGTAGGCAAAAGTTCGTACAAGATTTCACTTTTAAAATACATTTATTTCTTCGAGACGTTTACAAAGTTAATGTGGTCTACTTCTTAGAGCATAATATGTTTGATTTTATTTAAATTACGCACAACAATTTAAATGTTTTTTTGTAATAAGAGTCGTTTGGCTTAAGTGTTCATTCGCCATGGTTTCTATACTCCTAGCCCTACGTCGACCCTACATCAACCCTACATCGACCCTACATCGACCTCACATCGACCCCACATCGACCCTACATCGATCCTACCTAGACATCACATCGACCCCACATCGACCCTACATCGGCCCTACATCACACCCACATGTCGCCGTAAAAAATATAAATGGTTCTTCCTCTTCATTAACTTTATTTTCCTTATCCTTACCTTCTTTATCTTTGTCTTCTTATCTTCTTATCTTCTTATCATTATCTTCTTATCTTCCTGATCCTTATCTTCTTATCTTTTATCTTTATCTTATTATCCTTATCTTCTAATCTTTATCTTCTTATCTTCCTGATCCTTATCCTTATCTTCTTGTCTTTATCTTATTCTCCTTATCTTTATTTTCCTTATCTTCACGGTTGGCACAAAAGACAGCAAATTCGGCCACGTACAAATAACTTTCTGTCGTTAGTTTGGAATATCACGAAACTTCCTGACAGGATAGAATTTGCCATTCCTAAAAATCGTATCGATTTTGTTTTTCGATCTTGCTACATTTTGGCGGGAAAATGTCGTGCCAACTTTGGCGCCAAAAAAATAAACACGAGGCTCGTTACAAAGTTAATGTGGTCTACTTCTTAGAGCGTAATATGTTTGATTTTAAATTATGCACAACGTTTTAAATGTTTTTTTGTAATAAGAGTCGTTTGGCTTAATTGTTCATTCGCCATGGTTTCTATACTCCTAGCCCTACATCGACCCTACATCAACCCTACATCGACCCTACATCGACCCTACATCACACCCACAAGTCGCCGTAAAAATATAAATGGTTCTTCCTTATCATTATCTTTATCTTCCTTATCCTTATCCTTATCTTCTTATCTTCCTATCTTCTTATCTTCCTTATCCTTATCCTTATCTTCTTATCTTTATCTCCTTGTCTTCCTTATCCTTATCCTTATCTTCTTATCTTTTTCTTATTAACCTTATCCTTATCTTTATCTTTATCTTCCTTATCTTTATCTTCCTTATCCTTATCTTCTTATCTTTTTATCTTCTTTATCTTTACTTCTTATCTTTATCTTTATCTTCTGATCTTCTTTATCTTTATCCTTATCCTTATCTTCTTGTCTTCATCTTATTATCCTTATCTTTATTTTCCTTATCTTCCTTATCTTTATCTTCTTATCTTCGTTATCCTTATCTTTATTTTCCTTATCTTCTTTTCTCCTCATCTTCATCTTCTTATCCTCAGGTGCGTTAATGACTGGGACAAAAAGTTATTAGTTTCCAGTGCCTTTTGTGAAAGTAGCGAATTTAGGCGTACAATTTCCGTCTTTTTTTTCGAACATGGCGTCGGAAGAGAGTGGTGTTTATTTTATATACTGTATGGTATTAAATTGAAGATTGGCAAGAAACTGTTTCTGTATTAATACCGATCGTAGTTATAGTTCGTTTAAAGGTTTGTATTCTATTTTAATATTGGTACTGTTTTCCTAGTATAGCCTTTACGGCTTTCCCGTTTATAGTTTTGCTTTGTATATATTTATATATTTTACAGTCACTATAAAAACATTATTAATACTGCCATTGAAAGCCAGTATTAGGAAGGATTCTAGCTTGTGTTTATACTGATTCTAACAATGGCCATAGCCCAAAAAAGATTTACTCACAAATTTCTGGGAGTATTAAAAATCATAGTCTTACCTGCTGAGAGTTGCTATGAAAAGTGAGCCAACCAGATGTCCAGATACATTCCTTTTATTCCCTTTTAAGACTTTTAAAATCAACTGCAATACGTACATTCTATAATTTTTACCACGAACCAAACACAAACAAGACTGTGGAGACAAGAACGCTTGTTATGGCCTTGTCTCCACTTATTTTAATACATTTAATTAATTAATTGAAGAATCAATTTCATATGATACAAATATTTACATCTTACAGTATGTTTGGCATACACTGTATTCACTCATTTTAGTGCTCTTTATTATTAAAATATGTAGGACTTATCCTCAGAACGGCGAGAGCCCACTTACATTTCAATACTATTCAAACATATTTCATGTTCCATTAGATCTGGATAGCTATTCAATGTATACTGTGCACATCCATATATAAAGTAGCTTTGCCATCTAGCTGGGCCATTTGTGATATTAATTTTTTTCCAGTGCAGTCGACTATTAAAAATTGATAACTTTATATACTACATTATTATTGATTTGATAATTTTAATAGTGTTGTATTCAATTTAACACTAAGTAATTATACTGCATTTCATTAATAATAGTAAATTTGTTAATAATATATTTATATAACTCTGTTAGTTAAAAACACAGTTAAGATTGAACTGGTTGCCGAAAGACACAATATCTTGACAACCTGCTGCCGAAAGACGATTCATCTTGACAGCACAAGAGTTTCCACTATGGCTGTGTTTCACATAGTTTTCACAAGCTATTAGATTTTATTATTAAGTTATTTATATTGTTTAAACAAGGTGTACTCAATACAGTACTCATTAATTCCTTACATGTTAGCTACCGTATATCATTAGCAAATACCCAATAAAAACGCAGTTAAGATTCAACTGGTTGCCGAAAGACACAATATCTTGACAACCTGCTGCCGAAAGACGATTCATCTTGACAGCACAAGAGTCTCCACTATGGCTGCGTTTCACATAATTAATAAAACCTAATAGCTTGTATAAACTAAGTTATTTATATTTATATTATTTAAACACGGTATTCATTAATTCCTTGCATGTTAGCTAGTATATATTTAGAAAATACCAGCCCAATAAAAACACAGTTAAGATTCAACTGGTTGCCGAAAGACACAATATCTTGACAACCTGCTGCCGAAAGACGATTCATCTTGACAGCACAAGAGTCTCCACTATGGCTGTGTTTCACATAGTTTATACAAGCTATTAGGTTTTATTAATTAAGTTATTTATATTTATATTATTTAAACAAGGTATTCATTAATTCCTTGCATGTTAGCTAGTATATATTTAGAAAATACCAGCCCAATAAAAACATAGTTAAGATTCAACTGGTTGCCGAAAGACACAATATCTTGACAACCTGCTGCCGAAAGACGATTCATCTTGACAACAAGAGTCTCCACTATGGCTGTGTTTTACATAGTTTATACAAGCTATTAGATTTTATTAAGTTATTTATATTATTTAAACAAGGTATTCATTAATTCATTGCATGTTAGCTATATATTTAGAAAATACCAGCCCATTAAAAACACAGTTAAGATCCAACTGGTTCCCGAAAGACACAATATCTTGACAACCTGCTGCTGAAAGACGATACATCTTGACAGCACAAGAGTTGCCACTATGGCTGTGTTATAATTTTGTTAGGATATTGTGTACAACATTTTATTCCTAAATTATACATGGTGTTAAATATTACAATCACTGTGTTGTTGTTAACTCATTAAGCGGCAAGCTGTTACAATGTTTCTACCCGCCTAAGGCGCAAGCAATATGGCGAATATGTGATTGAATTCAAGAGCTTTCACCAAAATGGCAATATCTCAGAAACAGTTGCATAAAAAAATCTGATCTTTTCAACCAAACATTAGTGATATATGATTGACCAAATTTAGTTTAAATGACTTTGCATACCTACATATATCATTAGTTTTTTCAATGAGAATTTTTATTTGTAAAGCAGTGACACTTTGTTTTTCATGTCACTCATCACCTAAAGGGGCAATATCTCCATAAATTTATATAAAAACCAAAAAAAAAATCATTTACTAAATTAGTACATATCTATATTATAACCAATTTTCATCTTTTGGGATATGAATTAGAAAACGATCAAAAATTATAAAAAATACTCATTTGGTTTTTTTGGGCAAGATATTTACAACACGAAATTTAGAACAGTAACTAAGTGTTCAAATTCAACAAAATGTGCAAGCCAAAACACAGTGCTTGTTCATCTTTGGAGTTTTTAATTACCTCAAATATATTTAAAAGGACATATGGTACTAGAATTTATTTATTTTCAATATAAACCAAGGATGGGAAGGTGAGAAAATAGGAATTTTCTGAGGTGTTTTTAACACAGACAATGACAGCCGACATTTTCAAAGGCAAATTGCGGTGACAAAACCAAAAGTTATTCACTTCTCTACTCAAAGCACTGAAAAACACCATAAAGAGAAAAACATTTTAAACATACATCAGGTAAGCCTTTTAGCTCAATTTTCTCATGTTTCTGTTTGGAAAGAAACGGTTTTTAGCCAAAATTATTTTGCGCGCCAATGTAGGCTGCTATAAAATGTCAGACACGCGTTCTCTTTTGAAGTCTGGCTCTGAAAAACAATCGCTTTTTTTAGTTTGAAATAAGCTTTCATAAGGACTAATTGTGTAGAAATGTTATCTGTATGCTCAAATGAAAAAGATAACCTAATAGTCAGGTATTCAACATAGCTATAAAAGGGTGAAATAAGGACTTTCATCTTTGGTTGTTTGTCAGACATGAGAAACCACATTAGTGCCATTTTGTCGCGCGTGCTATTTTATAAAATAAACACCTCAAAACCATAAACTTTTAGTTCAGAAAATAACAAAGTTTCCCATACATATTAGTAAAAATGTTCTAGTGAAGCGATTTCATGATAAATAAGTGAGCTATGGGCCCAAAATAACTGCTAAACTATGTTTTTGTTAGGACTTCAATTTCATGGCTTCCCACAAAGGAAGCCATTTCAGAGAGAAGTGGCATTTTGCAAGCAACGGTCGCGACCTATTTTTGATAACTTTTCCTTCTGATTCAACGTGTAGTTACTAGAAAATGAGGTTGCATCAACATTATTATCTGCTTTATCGATTTAAAGTTTTATGGGGATATAAAACCCAATAGAAAAAGCGTTTTAAAAGCTTTAGAACTCAAGTGCAGACTTTTTGAAAATTCGCACGCGGCCAGCAAGCGCACTAATTCAATACACTTATTTTAAACCACAATATGTCTGAAACGAGTTGTCGTTTTAAGACTAAATTGATGAAAATAGATATAACAGTGATTTTGGAGTATCCTACTTACTTAGTGTAATTTAATACTCGAAGTATTCTTGCCAAAAAGGGCACGTACGCACATAGTAATTTAATCTGGTGTCGTTTGAAACATACTTTAGCTAAAATAACAACTTGAACAAGAAGACCAACAATGGGGTTACGAAAACAGTCGAAATTGTGCCCAAATTTGCATAAACAGTTCGTCTAAAAAGATAACTTTAAACTAGATTCAACCAACTTTAATGCGGTCGAATTTTGTGAGTGTTTGATCGCATATTTCTACTCAAAAATACCCTTAAAAATATCGTATCTGCTCACTTGAGTTCCGTGTTCATCTTTCTTGTGATTTCCGACTTCTACTTTTAATAAAGTTTGGAGAAATCCTCATCTTTTTGGCTGAAAATCTCGCGGATGGTTCACAGAAGAACTTGGCCCCAAAACGTCAATACATTCGCTTTCCTTTCATGCC